AATTCCAGACTTCAAGTTCTATTACAAAGCTGTAGTGATCAAAACAGTATGGTACTGGCACAAAAACAGACACACATACCAATAGAACAGAATAGAAAACCCACAACTGTATGGTCAATTAATCCTTGACAAAGCAGGAAAGACTATCCCATGGGAAAAGGACAATCTCTTCAACAAATGGTGTTGGGAAAACTGGACAGCAACATACAAGAGAATGAAACTGGACCACCTTCTTATACCATACACAAAAATAAATTCAAAATGGTTAAGGACCTAAATGTGAGACCTGAAACCATAAAAATCCTAGAGAAGAACACAAGCAGTAACCTCTTTGACCTCAGCTGTAACAACTTCTTTCTGGATATGTCTCCTGAGGCAAGGGAAACAAAAGCAAAAATAAACTTTTGGGACTACATCAAAATAAAAAGCTTCTGCACAGCTAAGCCAACAATCAACAAAAGGCAACCCACAGAATGGGAGAAGATATTTGTAAATGACATATCCTATAAAGGGTTAGTATCCAAAATATATAAAGGACTTCTCAGGGCGCCTGGATGGCTCTATCAGTTAAGCATCTGACTGTTGATTTTGGCTCAAGTCATGATCTCAGTGTCATGCGATGGAGCCCCACGTACATGGAGCCTGCTTAAGATTCTCTCTCTCTCCCTGTCCCTCTGCTCCCTCCCCTCACCCTGCTCCTGCTTCCCTCTCTCTCTCTTAAAAAAAAAAAAAAGAACTTCTAAAAATCAACACCCAAAAAACAAATAATCCAATTTAAAAATGGGCAGAAGACGTTAACAGACATTTCTCCAAAGAAGACATCCAGATGGCCAACAGACACATGAAAAGATGTTCTTCATCACTTACCATCAGGGAAATGCAAATCCAAACTACAATGAGATATCACGTCACACCTGTCAAAATGGCTAAGATCAACACTACAAGAAACAACAGGTGTTGGCAAGGATGTGGAGAAAAAGCAACCCTTTTGCACTGTTCGTGGGAATGCAGACTGGTGCGGCCACTGTAGAAAACAGTATGGAGTTTCCTCAAAAAGTTAAAAATAGAACTACCGTATAATCCAGCAATGGCACTACAAGGTATTTACCCAAAAGATACAAAAACACTAATTCAGAAGGATGTATGCACCCTTATGTTTATTACAGCATTATTTACAATAGCCAAGATATGGAAGCAGCCCAAGCGTCCACTGATTGATGAATGGATAAAGAAGGTGTGGTGTGTGTGTGTGTGTATATATATATATATATAGTATATATGTATACACAATGAAATATTATTCAGCCATAAAAAAGGAAGGAAATCTTGCCATTTGCAACAACATGGATGGAACTAGAGGGTATAATGCTAAATGAAATAAGTCAGTCAGAGAAAGAAAATACCATATGATTTCACTCATATATGGAATTTAAGAAATGAAACAAATGAGTAAAGAGGAGAAAGAGAGAGAGAGAGAGAAACAAACCAAGAAGCAGACTCTTAACTCTAGAGAGCAAACTGATGGTCACCAGAGGGGAGGTGAGTGGGGGGATGGGTGAAATAGGTGATGGGGATTAAGAAGTGCAGTTGTCATGATGAGGACTGGGTTCTGTATGGAATCGTTGAATCACTCTATTGTAAACCTGAAACGAATATAACACTGCATGCTAACTAAGTGAATTAAAATAAAATTAAAAAAAAAATTTTTTTAAAAGAGGAAGCTTACATACATTGAGTATTTACTGTGGGGCAGGCACCTTTCATTATAATTAATTCATTAGTCCTCAATACAACATTGAAGGGAGTACTATTTCCATTTATGGTGGAATACACTGGATCTTAAAATGTGAAACTGGAGTTTGAATCAAGGTCTTTCTGATCCCATATCCGGTGTTGTTTTTACCAAATATGCTACTTCAATAAAGAAAATAATCTGATTTTTCTTCAGGCATTGAGACCCTGATAGTTGTACCCTGGCATTGCTGTACACTTGTACAGACTTTGCCAGTTTCTAGAAAGGGGACATATACTTCTCAGGGATTACCACCGCTGCAGCAACATAAAGGCTTCGTGCTCCTGGGCCCAGGAGCTTCACATGGCCTATCATGTACTTGAAAGAAGAATTTTATTAAGACATTGCTTCACTAACGGGCGCCTGGGTGCCTCCGTTGGTTAAACATCTGCCTTGGGCTCAGGTCATGATCCCAGGGTCCTGGGATTGAGTTCCGCATCGCAGGGAGCCTGCTTCTCCCTCTCCTTCTGCCCTGCTCATGCTCTCTCTCTTTCTCTCTCTCACTCTCTCTCAAAGAAATAAATTTTTAAAAAATTTAAAAAAAAAGAAATTGCTTCAATTCTAAAGGGTAATGATAGAGAGGAAATATAGACTGTTTCATCTTGATGAAAATGTGTATGAGAAGATAGAAATCAACTTCTAGGAGCTTAGAAAGTGATTTAAATAAGTAAATCTTTTATTTTAAAAAGTTTTTTTCTCCGGTAAAAATAATGATTCTTGATAAACCAGAACAAGGAAGAAGGGAGAATTTCATTTTATAGAATTTTTAAATAGGGGACTATGAGTGATTTTTGTCTTTCTTATAATATTGGTTCATATTTTTCATATTTCAAAATAATGAAGCCAGGCTGGTAGAAAATATTTGCAAAAGACACACCTGAAAAAGCACTGTTACCCAAAATATATAAAGAACTCCTAAAACTTAACCATAAAAAAAACACCTAATTTTAAAAATGGGCGAAAGACCTTAACAGATATTTCACCAAAGAAGATTTACAGGTGGCAAACAAACATGTGAGGAGAAGCTCACGTCATATGTCATCAGGGAAATGCAAATTAAAACGAGATAACATTGTATAACCTATTAGAATGGCCAAAATCTAGAACACTGACAACATCCAATGTGGGTGAAGATGTGAGCAATAGAAGTGTTAAATATTGCCAGTGGGAATACAAAATGGTACAGACACTTTGGAAGATAGTTTGGTGGTTTCTTTTCTTTCTTTCTTTTTTTAAGAGTTTATTTATTTATTTGTCAGAGAGAGCGAGCTCACAAGCAGGGGGAGCGGCAGGCAGAGGGAGAAGCAGGCTTCCCACCGAGCAGGGAGCCCGATGGGGCTCAATCCCAAGACCCTGGGATCATGTCCTGAGCAGAAGGCAGACGCTTAACTTACTGAGCCACCCAGGCGCCCGTTTGGTGGTTTCTTACAAAACTAAACATATTCTTACTGTATGATCCAGCAATCATGCCCCTTGGTATTTACCCAAAGGAAATGAAGTTTTATATCCACACAAAAAGTTGTACATAGATGTTTATAGCAGCTTCATTCACAATTGCTAAAATTTGGAAGCATCCACGATGTCCTTCAGTAGGTGAATGGATAAATAAACTGTGGTATATCCAGACCATGTATTATGTAGTTCTAAAAAGAAATGAGTTATAAAGACATGGAGAAAATTTATTAAATGCATCTCACTGAGTAAAATAAGCCAATCTGAAAATGCTACATACTGTATGATTTCCAACTATGTGACATTCTGGAAAAGGCAAAACTATAAGTGGTTGCCAGGGCTTGTGAGATAGGGAAGGATGAATAGGCAAAACAAAGAGGATTTTTAAGGTGTGAAAATACTCTATGATACCATAATAATGGGTACATGTCATTATATATTTGTCAAAACCCATAGACTGTAGAACATGAAGAGTGAAGCCTAAGGTAAACTATGGTCTCTGGGTGATGATGATGTCATTATGTATGTGTGGGGGCAGAGAGTACGTGGGGAAATCTCTGTACCTTCTGAATTTTGCTATGAACTTAAAACTCCTCTAAAAAATAAAGTCTTTAAAAATAAATGAATGAATGAATGAATAAATGAACGAATAAATAAATACTATTCTTTTTGCTTAAAAAATGATGAAGTGAGTTTAAAAGTTCAAGGGCACTTCATGAGATCCCATTTGTGTAAAAAAATTCAAATCCTTTCTTTTCCTTTTTACTCTAAATATATGAATATGCATTGGATAGTCTGGAAGGATATACATCAAAATAGCATCGTGATTACGCTTTATTCTTTATTCGCTTTGATAGTTCATATTTGTAAAATTGAGCATGAATTATTTTTTATAATTTTTAAAATGTAATTGTTAAAAAGAAAAAAGAACACTTTAATTTTTAAATTTTCTTTATTCTGAAATAAAAACATATTTTAGACTTTACATATTAATCATAAATAATAAAGGTATTTGAAATGTTCCAAATTAGATGTGACATATAGAATACTAACCTATAAATATATGTTGTTTTATAGTCTCAAAGGAAAAAAAATGTGTGATCGAGGAACAGATGTTCATTGAATAGTTTATTTGATTTTAAATAACATGGAGTAATTGTAGAAGAAAGCAAAGTATAGAAAGTATTTTTTCATATTTTTCATTCATTTTTATTTAACTGCTTCCAAATTTAACTGGTTATTTTAGAATGAATAAACTTTTTTTTTAATATCCACACTGAGTTGAAATTCAACATGAATGTATCTTTAAAGTTCTTAACAAATAGCTAAGGTAAAAAAATTGTTCCTTTCTTATCATGAATTTGTGTAACACTAGCCCAACTGAGAAAACAAACAATGGCGTGTGCTTTTTAATTATAAACAGTTCAAACATAATTTAAATTTTTCGTAAGTTCAGTGACCTTCCCATAAGATACTTGGCAAATGCAAAAAAAAAAAAAAAAATTCTGGAGTTTCCTAATAATTACTGACAGAATAAATTTGAACAAATAAATGTGGAAAATAAACAGTACTATCAAATAAGTTTACCCTTTCCCTAAGTTATACGTGTACACTTGGTCTTATAAACAACTGGAAACTCAATCTATCTGGTCCCCTTGGGTGGACTTTGACTTCCTCAGGTTCGTATTCATCATGATTTAAATCTTGGAACTGCATCCAAGAGGAAGCTTAACAATAGTGATTGTTTATTTTGTAGGTTTTAAAGAAGCTAGAGTGCCAGAGAAGACCTTTGAAGTGTGAAGAGATTTCCTGTAATTGAAACCAAAATGTCATTTATAGATCCGTATCAGCACATTATAGTAAGTCATACTGTTTATATATCTTTTCTGGGAGGGAGGCTGATACACTTCTGCAGGAGTCTTGCTGGCATTGGCCAATAAAGTACAACTCTAAGACAAATCCAGAACAGAGGTACTTGGAGGGAAAAAAAAGTCCAAACCATGTGTAACAGTATAGAACTTTCACGGAACAATAAAAGATGTAGTTACCACTTAGCAATTATCAGTCTGTGTAAGTTCTACCCTTCACATGCACTGAGAGAAGATAAAGGAATTCTTGAATTGAAGGCTATATTTGGGTATGCGTTGCCAGGGTAAAGTGTTCTGTAAACTTCCCCTTCGCTGTTCTTAAACCAATTCTTCTGTAGGTGGTTAGTTCATAGTAAAGAGTAATTTCAAATTTTAGTATGTATTTTTCCAAACTCAGCTTTCTGATTAAAAAAAAAACAGGATTTCTTTGCTGAATTCAACGATCCAGTTAGGCTTATATGGACTAGAAATAGTTTTTATGGACATTAAGGAATAATCCAGAGCCTTATTGTTACTTCAAATGAAGCACTTGTTCTCTTACCCTACATCCTTCTCTAGCTACCATCCTCTCTCTTTCCCTGCCTGGAGAGCAAGGATTAACATATTACAAGTGTTTTCTAGTGCCTTCTTCCCCTCTATTCACAACTTGAGTCATTAAAAACTGTACTCAGCTTTCCTACTTCACAAAGAAGCCTCATCAAGGACCTCTTTTGGTGCTGAATTCATTGGACTCTTCAGTACCCCCATCCTCCCCCAACATCCCACCCCGACCTCCCCCAACCCCACTGGTCATTCTCTTCTTAAAACTCTTCTTGATGGGGTGCCTGGGTGGCTCAGTTGGTTAAGCGTCTGCCTTTGGCTCAAGTCATGATCTCAGGGTCCTGGGATCGAGTCCCGCCCGCATCGGGCTCCCTGCTCAGCCGGGAGTCTGCTTCTCCCTCCCCCCCAACCCCCTCGTGCTCTCTCTCTCTCTCTCAAATAAATAAAACCTTTAAAAAAAAAAACTTCTTGATTTTTCTGTGGTTCTGTTTCAGATTTCTCTGGTTTCGTTTCCTATTTTCTTGCAATTGGTTCCTTTTTTAGTTTTCTTTGCAAGCTGCTGTTCCTGTTGGACTCTTTTTTTTTTTTTAATCGATGTATAGCATACATAAAGTGCATAAATCTTAATTGTTCAGCTTATGGATATTAACCTATGTATTCCTCTCATGAAACCACCATCCAAATAAAAATACACAGCATTAAAAGTAATGCAGAAGAGTTGCTCATGTCCTTTCCAGTCAGTAAACTGCACAAAGGTAACCAACATTTGACTTCTATGACCATAGATAAGTGTTGCCTGTTTTTGACCTTCATATGGATATCTGCCTTCCACATTACATCTGTGAGATTCATTCATGTTGTTGCAAAGCAGCAGAATTGCACACTTTTACATTGCCGTGTAGCATTCCCTTATCTGAATATACTGTGAACTCTCTAGTCCCCTGGTAACTCATCTCCTCGCTGAATGGCCGTGGCGCCGCTACTGGAAATCAAGTAGCCATATGTGTGTGGCTTGATTTCCATGCTGTTCTATTGGTCTATTAGGCTTTGTTATATAATGACAGTTGTACAACATGTCTATCTTAATTTCTTTTTTTTTTTTAAGATTTTATTAATTTATTTGTCAGGGATTAAGAGAGAGAGAGAGTGAGAGAGAGAGAGCACAAGCAGGGAGAGTGGCAGGCAGAGGGAGAAGCAGACTCCGTGCCGAGCAAGGAGCCCGATGCGGGGCTTGATCCCAGGACCCTGAGATCATGACCTGAGCCGAAGGCAGATGCTTAACCGACTGAGCCACCCAGGTGTCTCATCTTAAATTCTGTAGCTTTGAAATGTATCTTATATATGGTGGTGTAAAATCCTCCAGCTTTTTCTTCTTCAAGATTGTCTTGGTTATTTTTAGTCCTCTGCATTTCCATATAAATTTTGCAATCAGTTTGTCAGTTTGCACACACACACACATACACAAAACTGCTGGGATTTTTATTGGCCCTGTAATGATTTTATAGACCAATTAAGGGAGAGGTGATATGACAAAGATATTGAATCTTCCCACCCATTAATAACACATGAATCTAATCCAAAACTAATGTTATTTAGATTACCTTTAATTCTCTCAAAAGTGTATTGTAGATTTCAGTAGGATATCTTTTATAGTATTCCCCCCCTTACCTGCAGTCAGACCTTATACAGAAGCAGATGATCCTCCTTCTGACGTATCATCAGAAGGTCAATAGTAACCTAACACTACGTCACAAAGCCTGTGTTATTCACTCACTTCATCTCATCACCTAGGCATTTTATCATCTCATATCATCACAAGGAGAGTGATAATACAAGATTCTTTGAGAGAGAGCGCACATTCACATAACTTTTATTACCGTATGTTATTATAGTTCTATTTTATTATTAGTTATTGTTGTTAATCTCTTACTGTGTCTAATCTAGAAATTAAACTTTATCCTAGGTATGTACGTACAGGAAAAAACAGCACATAGAGAGTTTGTACTACCCACGGTTTCAGGCATCCATGGTGGGGCACCTGGGAGGTTGCTTGGAATGTATTCCCTGAGGCTAAAGAGGGATTATTATATATCTTTTTTTTAGATGTATTTCTTGATAGTTGATGTTTTAGCATCATTATTTGTAAATTTTATTTTCCAATTAGTTTTTGCATTTATATCAAGATACAATTGATCTTTGTAGATCTAATAAACTTACTGAATTTCTTTATTAATTTTAATAGTTTGTAGGTTCTTTTGGATTTTCAACTTACACATTCCTGTTATCTGTGAATAATGCCAATTTTACTTCTTCCTTTTAAATTTTTAAATATTTATCTTTAGAGCTTTATTAATTGTAGACCATCTACTTTAGGTATAGCACATAGGTTTGGGAATGTCACATTTTCATAATTGCTCAATGAAAAATATTTTCTAACTTTTTCTAACTCAGTCCCTGAACTGAGCTTTGACTCATGGGGTGCTTAGACACGTGTATATTAATTTTCAAACAGTTGTCTTTGTCTTTGATTTCTAATCTAATTCCACTCTGTTCAGAGAACATACTCTTGCATGATTTTTTGTTGTTTGTAATATGTTTATACATGATTATGGCCTAGCGTATTGTCTGTTTTGGTAAATGTTCCATATACAACAATATGTTTCCATTTCAACTTTTGCTTTATGAATTTTGAAGATATGTTATTAGTGCATATAACTTCTGGATGTATATATTTCTCTAATTGATGTTTTATCATTATAAGTCCTTTTTTTATCTCTAATGATAGCTTTGTTCTAAATTTTACTTTGTCTTTTATTAATTTGACTTCTTCCAGTTTCTTTGATTGGTGTGTATGCATCCTTTTATGTTCAATTTATATTTTTCCTTTTATTTAAAGTGTGGTTTTTGTGAAAAGCATATAATCAGGGGTGCCCGGATGGCTCAGTCGGTTAAGCGTCTGCCTTCAGATTCCCGAGAGGAATTCCCTAGAGGGAGTGACATGTAAGCCTAGACCTGAAGGTTTAGCACAAGGGAAGTGAAGAAGGAGAAAATTACTTTTCTGGATTGGAAAAAAGCAAATGTGAGGCAATCTGGAGATGAGAAAGTTCATTTAAGGAAATGAAAGAAGTTCAGTATGGTTGGAGTATAATACATTTCAAAGAATATAATTATTTCAAATACCCTTCCTCTCATACCTAAATCTGACCAGGCCTTCTTACTGAACGCTGTATAGTCTCCACATGTCTCTTGTCAGATGACCTTGTGAGCTGGCCACTTAGTTTCTTCTCTTAACGTGGCAGAGTATATTTAAAAATCAAACTGCACTCTGGATATTTTAACTCATTGCTGTCCCCTTTTCTCGCAAATTTTAACTATAGCTAAATATTTAGGACATAGTAATTACCGACGCGGCATCTTAATATGATGAAGCTTGAAAACCACATATCTGTATCACGGTTTTCGTTACCTTTCCCAGCATCAGAGTGGGACATTTAATTCATATTCCAATTTATAGCGCTTTTAAATGAGGAGCCCTAAGAGCTTTGTAGTTTTGTTATTCTTGTTCTTTCTGTGTATGTATGAAAAACACTGTGTGTGTTTGTCTATGTAAATTGTCTTAGTGACAAAATTCCCTGCCCTGGTTTTCACAGAAAGATACTTTTCAAAATATATAAGTGAGCATACTCAGCACAGAATAGTTTTAGTAAAAACGAAAGATGGGGAAAACTAAGTCAGCTAACTTGGGATGAGTGGTACCAGACGGGCCAACACCGTTTTGGCTGCCTCAAGGCACAGAAGTTTGGCCTCATATTCCCCACATCTGTGATGCAGTGACATGTTGGGGAATCCCTTGGGCTGGTGCAGCAATTCACAGCCAGCAAGTTCTCTTGCTTCCCACAGTGCTGGCTTTTAAGAACCTGGTAGAAACTGGAGCGATAAACATATGGCAGAATTCAGTGTCCATATGTTTAGAGTCCTCGTGAGGTACTTTCTAACCTGAAGAATGTTTGTGTCTCCAGGATTTATTGAAATTCTTTTGGACCAATCTTACAAGGATAGGTCAAGTATAAATTATTTATAAAAATTTCCATCTTTTTACTCTGAAAATGAGTCACTTCCCTGGAGTGAAAAAGAATCCACACCTCTTCCCACCACCCTATTAGCAGTGGAGGGCCACTGTCCCACATCCACAGAACCCAAGGTTGTCTTCACATCAGACATAGTCAACCACATGGGTGTGCTAGCATGAGTGCTTGCTAAAATACAGGGACCTTTGAAAAACGTCATTGTGGGTGACTGGAAATTTTACCGGGAAAGTAGAAAGATATTATTCTAGATTATTATGGTAACATGGCGGGGGAGAGGTGCAACACAGGGTAAGGAATCAAAGAGCTAGTATTCTAGTGGTATTTCCCGTCTTCAGTTACGTGCTCCTGAGCACTGAAACTGAG